AATCGTGTTTTATATATCAGAAAAGAAGGAAAGTCAACACTGGTACATGTTAAGACAGCGCTGGGTCACTACAGGCTGTAAACCAACGGCATCTTAATGTACCAACATTGGCTATGTCTTTAGTCATTTTATTTGTATATTTGAAAAAGCCGTCTGATTAAAGACTTTTAAACTTCTGTTAAAAGGGGTTTTATATATAGTTCTGATTTGAGAGAAGGGGATATTAAAGATCGTTTCATAATTTGTAATGAGATGCTGAAGGACTTTAAAACAGTGCAGAGAGTTAGTTTGACAATGAAGATTTCTTTGTTTCTCTGCCACAAGACTGACAAAAACATCTGTGTCTGCCATCGGCCAAAAATGTTGTTTTAAACATCGATATCGGCCCAGAATTTCTGTTTCCCTCCATTCATCTTTTTCTGTGTCTGTGTTGACAGTGGGATTGTATGTTAATTTGTATGTGTTGTCACATGGGAGATATGCTGTCCAAGTCACCGGCAGTACTTGCTAATCCCAGAGCACGTGTGTGTGTGTGTGTGTGTGTGTGTGTGTGTGTGTGCATACACTTGTACGAGGTCACACACATGGGGCCTTTTGTGGTTGCAGTCTATCTATAGGAATACCCTACAACACTCCAGCTGCTCTTCTCTGTAATTAGTGCGTCAGAACCACCGAGCTCTACCGTCGCCTGGCTGACTGGTAACACGGTGGGAGATTAGAGTCTCTCCCCCCCATGCGATGTCTCACTCTCCATTCTCTGACAATTTATTTTATTTTTCCTGTCTAAATATGACTTAGATTAAATGAACCCAAACAAAAATGAATCCTAGCCAGCATATCATGTTATGGAGCCTAGAAAAAAAACAACTTAATCGAATTGAATGGACCATAAAGTTCTTGTCTCGATGTATAAACAGAGGTCGGGATGAGAAGCAGTGAGAACAGCAGGACTGAAATGTTTATTTACATCACTCGGATGCCGCCGCATGACTCTTTCCTTACCACTAAGTGTGGTGTTTGTGAGACACTGTACTTGTAAACACCTGATGCCTGTAATCAATAAACGAACATAAACACATCAGATAGCACATACATGAGACTGAAAATGTCAGTGATGGTTGTTTCTTCTTATCCGTCCTAGGTGCTACGTGGGGCTCAGCTCATAGCGGTGGCATCAGCTGATGGGGGGGCCACGGCCGTAGAGGGCTCCCCGCTCCCTCCTGACATCCAAGTGCAGTACGTCCAACTAGCCCCCGTCACAGATCACACAGCTAACGTACAGGTAAAACCACACACACACACACACACACACACATAGAGAAACTCTCCCAGGCTCTGGCACACGTGTACACAGATTGTTTGTAACTGGGAAGCATTCCAGGTGCTGGAGTATGCTTCTATTGTCTGAGCTGAAACAGACCATGGTACTAATCTAAATCAGTCCCTCTACATGGGTTTGTTTTTTGAGCAATCCATAATGCACAACTGTTCCTCTGAAATGCATACTGTAGATCAGGAATCAGTCTTTCAGTGATGCCATTAATCTGTGCTGTGTGCTCGCTGCTCGGCCAGAAGAACGGATGTCAGGGTTTGTTTTCAGACTCGCAGAGAGAGAAACTGAAATGCAGAGTCGGCGTTCTTGTTCCTAATCAGGAACATTTATTTTCATTCATATAATAATTCTATACAAATATGCCCTCCATGTTTACAATCAGTCAGAAAAGGTGCCAGGAAGTTAGAGGAGTATCTTTTTTAAATGCAAAAATATGGATTTGAAAGTTTACTTTTAAAAATACCTTAAATATACGTCTTCTGGTATATCTTCTGGTTGTGTTTTAACGCATTAGTTATACATATTTCAGCTTTGTACCTTACTGCTGACTCCATTATAAGTCTGGAAAGTCAAATGGAAGTAACTATTCTGTACTTATGAGTCGCCAGACAGAGTCACAAAGGGACATTTACAGCTAATTCCAAACATTGCCTTTCCAAACCAGCAATAAAATACAACACCACCTCAAGCCATAAACAGAAAGAGATTTGATCCAACATACAGAAACTATCCCACAAAGCTAAGCCGCCAACATCAACCTTCCAGTAGTGAATTTGTGGTGAAACTTGGTTATAATTTAAAGTCACATATACAGTCTTGTGCCTTTTTAGATTTTTTTTTTTAACGGCAACGTACTTTTCACCAGAGTTGTTCATCGTTGGTACAGAAGAATACCATGCCCGTGCAGAGTCACTCTCTTTACTGCCATCCAGTTAGAACAGTGGCTCATTGTGACAAAGCCTTAAAACACCTTTTTATCTGTGAACAATTGCAAACAAAACTGTCACAGTTTCATAAATCATGACATAGAACACAGTAGTTTAGTTTCTTCTCTATACTGAATAATTAAGCTCCATTCACCTAAAATATAAAACAATATATTTTTCCTCTTTTAGGAATCCATACATGTCTTCTTCTTTTGGATAATTCTTCTCCCACAGGCAGCCAAACGTTTCTGGTAGTTTGGGCTGACACCCACCTCCTTTCGTGCTATAACGGTTTGACCAGCTTCATAATGAGACAGAACATATCCTGTAATATTTCATTCATAATTACTGTCACGTTATAATATGCGTGCAATTTATCTAAACTACTTGCAGGTATTATGGGTCTGCTTTCCCCCTGTTGTCATAATTGTGCTCAAATAAAATGCACTCGGCTTTCAGTCATTATGATGAGTGTTTGTAAAAACAGTAATTTAACACAATAAAGGGGAGCGTTAAAAGGAGAAGAGTAGCAATTGTTAGATTTGCCTAAAATCCCTTCATGATTGAGCTTTTTTGACGCCACATGTGGAATCGGGACGGTGCACACGGCACACGGCATCGTGGTCTGTTTCACTGCAAGGAATATCAAAGAACCACACTTTTCCATTGCTGTCTCTGCTTTTTTGTTTCCCCCCCAAAATATATTGAATATCACATTTCCTCCTCAAGTCCTGTGTTAAAGTGGGTCCCCTGTAGTCCTGATGGGAGTCTTTGTTGTGTCGTTATCATACAAACAGAAAGAACTTGACATAATTTTTGGCTGTGTGAAATACTAGCCTCACATGTGTCCTGATGTGGATCTCCCTGCAGACAGTGATGCTGTTTTTTGTAGCTCTCTCAGGAAGACACTGTCTTGTTGTCCTTTTGTTGTCTGTAGTTGTCTAGGTAACTGGTATAGCATCCTATATTGCGTGTGGATCATACACAATCTGATAGACTCCGAGGTCTGTTCTCCATGTTTTAATCAGACTGTTTGTTTACTCCACTGATTCGTCCTCCTGATGTTTGATTGTACTCGGATCTTGACAGAAATCAACAAAGTCGGCAGAAGTCTGATCACTCATCAGCGTTCTGTTCAATGAGAGTTTGGGTTCACTAAGGGCGCCGGGACGTGCTGAAGGGACAGCATGAGTCAACTTGTTAACAACGTGGTGTTTATTGCTCAAACTGTATTTAAACTCGTCAAAAGCAGATTTTCGTTCGACTTCAGTGCCAAAGTGATGCACGTATTGAGTCAATAGATGCATCCAGTGTGTTCAAGAGGACTTTTCTTTTCATTTTCAACATGCCTTAAAGGACTTTACCTAGTTTAATCCCACCAATAATCGATCAATCAACAAAATGTTTGCAAACAATTGGAACCGAGGGTGAAAATGAAGACGCAGCGTTGAGTAGCCTGCAGGGAGCGTCGCTCTGCTACAGGCTGGGTTATTATCACAGTTGTGTTTCAATGTTACTAAGTGTAGACATTGCTGGCTCTCAGTTCAAAGTTCAGAGGAAGGTTAGCGCTGCTCTTTCTTTCTTTTTTCTCTCCCTCTTTTCTGAAAATGTTGAATCATGTGAATTGCTCTCATCTGTTTCCAGACATATGGTAGCATTTACACAAGTTCTTGAAAAATGACTTTGGCTTTTGTATTTATTTATCTCTGCATTTTTCCTCTCTTTATTTAATAGTTTCCATTACCCAAACTAGATGAAGTGGAGGGAGGGGGGGCAACACAATGTGATGTTTGGACATTCTAAGGGGCATCTCTGCGCGTTGGTGCTAATCTTTAGATGCAACATTGTTTATCTCCCGCTCGGGTCCAAAGCTAGGGCTGCAGAGCCCCAATAGCCCGGTTTATCCCCAACGCAATGCATCTATTATCTGGGAGTAGTTCCAAATGGGGAACCAGGCTTGACAGTTCAACATGTCCGATGTTTCAAGTTCTCAATGAAAAACATTGATCCGTATGAGTTTCACTTAGCCCCTTCACCGCCAGCGGTAACAGCGTGTCCGCCTCATGTGCTGCTGCGGTGCAGCTGTGCTCCAGTCAATGCTGTTGTCTAGTGACAGCATGCTGGGGAGGGAGGATTAAATGCTGCAGGTGTGTTTGAGGGAACCTCTGCCACGCATCTGAGGAAGGAGTGAGTCATTCTTCATGGCCCTCATCCAGGACCGAGTCATGAAGCTCTCATCTTTTCAGGTTTTTTTAAATTTTTTTTTACCAACACAATACCTCGCTCTGTCTGACACCGACCGTAGAGACAGCCAGAGAGCATTAAAATACAAATAGCTCAACACTTGTCAAGTCTCTCTTCACCTGTCGCTCCACCAACCGTCTTCCTCTTTCTTCTCTCTGATACATCTCTCCCCTAATCTCTCTCTCTTTGTCATTCCTCCGCTCCTTCTATCTATTGTCCGTGCACTGCGGTTATCTCCCCTAATGACACATGGGGAGGGGGCTATAGTGTGGTTCGCCCGCATCTGTTGGTTCCCAGGAAACACACAGATCTCAAAGACTCTTACCAATTATCGCCTCTTCTCCCCCCCCCCCCCCTCTCTTTCATGTGTCGCAGGCTGCTGAGCTGGCCCCGGCCCTGCAGGCGGACCTGGAGGTGAAAGAGGCCATCCAGGGGGCCATCCAGGGAGAGAACGGCGAGGTGGTCCAGATCGTTACCTCCGTGGCCACCTGAGAACCACTTCTGGTCCAACACAGCCCAGAACCCTGCTGCACAGCACGGCCCGACGAGTCTCAGAGGTCGATGAATGCACACAGTCTGACAAGCAACTCGGTCGGAAAGCATTTTTAATAAACACTGAAGGTTACTGATGAAACACAGGGAAGAAGCTTTTTCTTTTTCCCCCTTGCAATCTCTCATCGCCAACCAGATGTCTCAATGTGGAAATGATCTTAGAAACTTGAAAAGATCATGATATTCCCAAAAATCAGCTGTGTTCTTTCTGGTGTTGTCATCACGAGACGGTCCTGGCCCACGGCAAGGACACACAGTGGGATTATTGTGTATCCAGGGAGGATGCTGCTCACGCAGACCATCACCCTGCCACCTCATCAACACACGTTTACAGCAACTTGGAAAACAGTGGAGTTATTTGGAGTTGAGCCACATTGTCTCATCCCAAATCCCCCATGAGGTAAATCCCACCTCACACAGCCAGTCCTGTGCTCCTGTTCTCCTCGTGTTGTTACGGTGGACTGTAGGTGTAGCTGAGCACAGCCTCTCTCGGTTGTGATTGATTTGGTTCCACTCTCCGTGATTCGCACCGTACTGTGTCTCCCGGCTGTGAGCGTTCCTCTACTTCGCTCTTCTTGTTTTCATACTGCTTTAGCCACACAGCATTGTTTGTCTGTTTGATTTATCTAATTCTAACATGCTGACATTTTTGGGGGAGCTTTGATTTGGAGGTAGAAGACCATGTAATAGAAGAGCTGGTGCCAGTGGGTAGGCAGGACAAGATGCTTGTAGAAAAACCAAGGAAACCTTGAAGTTGTTTATTCACCCCAGTTTTGTCTCTGTGAAAAGATACATTCATGTGAATAAAACATGTTGGTGGTTGCCATAAAAGTATGTTTTTATTTTGGTTTCTCTCTGTGTTTTCGCGTCATTTCCAACCCGGGTCATCAAAGATGTCCGAGACACGACTCTGCTTTCATCCACGACAAATAGATAATTGAAGAGAGTGTGAAATGATGGTTTGGTTTTGAGGTCTTGTCTCTGAAGTAAATATGTATCATGTCCACAGGATACTGTGTTGTCAGCAATCATGTAAGCTAAGCTGTTACATGCGGCCTCAACAAGGTTTTTGTCCAAAGACAAATGAATTATGTTTGCCTCATTATAGAAGTGTCTGGACTGTAATTACATTTCTTTAAACTCCACTCTGTGCCCAATGCATGGTTCTGTTTTTTCTTGTGTTGGGATGCTCCACTAATGATGAACATCTCTGCAGACAACAATAAAAGAGATAAGCGAGACACTCTGCGGCTCTGTGTTGGTTTAAGGAAGTTTCCCATACTCGGTGTGATGTAATGCTGTATTTTGGAGTTGGAGGAACCAGGCGACAAAATGAACTTGATGGAACAATAGCCCGGCCTTGGCTGCTTCCTCTTGTTTCCCTCCAGTCTGTTGTTGCTGTCTCTGACCTGCTTTATTCATTCCACTCTCTTAGTACTCTTCTTCTCCCACTCAACTCGTGTTTTTCCTCTTTCTCCCTTTGGCCAGCTGTGTTAAAGTCCATTATACACTTAGTGGCATAGAGAGATGGGTCTGTCCTTTTAAAAATAATCTTGATGTAGCTGAGTTAAAACGTTGGCGTGCGTGGACAACTGTCTCCCCCCGTCCCCCGTCCTGACCCCTCCATTAAATCATGGACTTGGAAGGGGAACCGACTTGGCTCTTCACTTTTACAACCCGAGGCTCCGTCCAGGAGCCGAGTGGTTACCGTGGCGACGGCCCCTCTCTCTGGCTGCCTCTGAGATAACCTGGTGGAAACAGAGATGAATGATGGAGAGATGAGATTGTTTTGGAAGCAGGCTGCGTGTTTGAGGAGAAGGAGCGGAGTGATGGACGGTGTGTCTTTCCCTTTCCTTCTCTCAGCAGCTCTGTGTTCTCCTGCAGTGAGACGGGCGGCTCAGCTGGCATCGGCTTCGACGTGCGAGCGCTGCTGCTGCCCGCCCGGCTTTTACTCCGGCTGCAAACTTATTTTTACAAGGCTGGCCGAGTTATCTCAGGATGTGTAAATATGAGTGCAGATATCTGTTGGAGCGAAAATGTCCAAACATGCGTCTCTTTAGATCATAAATCAGCGACGCTTGGGGGGGGGGGGGGGAAACAAAGCTCCGCACAGCCAGACTTTATTTGTCACGTACCGGCGGACAGATTACACCGGAACAGGGATGTCACAGTCTATATTGTACACTTTTAAAAAGGTCACAAGAGAGGCACGCAAACTTTGACTTCAGAAACATCTCTGTTGTCCGATTGTTTCCTGTTGCATGTGAGCGCAGAGTATTTAGCTTCAGAGACGTACAATGATGGGGATTCTAGATGCGTGTTTGGCTTGGAAGATCTCTCTTGGGCATCCATTGAGGGAATTCCTTCCAAAATTGGCACAAACGTCCACTTGGACTCAAGGATGAACTGATTAGATGTTGATGATCAAAGGTAAAGGTGACTTCCTTCTATCATACTATTGCCTAGAGAAGGAATTGTATAAACGTCCTTTGTCCCTTCGTGAAGACGGCTTCAGTGTTGTGGTACCAGTCCAGTTTTTTATTGATTTGGTCTCCAAGATACTTGCATGAGTCCGACCTCTTCATTACCTCTTCCTGGATGACAACCAGGACAGGGTTGTCCGGTAGTCCACCACCAGCTCATCGCCTTCGCTGTAGAGTTTCAGGTGATTGTTGTTGCACCATGTGACAAACGGCATGTTTTCCACTGGAAATGATTCACTGCAATCATGATTGTCAATATAGTGATAACTTCCATTTCATCCAATAATGAAAATAACACATTTGATTAACTTCCTTCAAAGTCTTTACAACATGTTATGAGTCTGGACAGACATGGATGTAATACAACCACAAGGCAGTAATTCTATTTTATTTAGTTTTGCTTTGCATTTGACTTGATATATTAGTTTATATTGCAATTACTGTACTGCATATTAAATATCAGCAGTACACATACTATAACAGAAACTAAAGAAGGGAGAACCAGGAGGTTATCTAAGAATGAAAAGAAGAAAATCCAGTGATTTGAAAACTACAGGCATCTTCCAATAACTCAGTATACATGGGAATGCATTGTACAGTAAATCAGGATTTATTATTCCAAGAATGCTTTCGGGTCTAATTAATAATTTACTGGAAGATTTATATTTCTTCCAAAAATATAAATCAGCTACCAAGAATGTTGTTATTTTTAGCTCCCCCCACAACTAAGACTCCCTTTTGAGTATTTGACTAAAACTGTCTTTTACACTACCAAACTATTTGTAAAGTATCTTCTTTTTTTTGTTGACAGGGCAGCTTACTGTAACAGTACTGTTTTAAGTACCTGTATTAGTTATCAACCACACAAGTAAATAGTTCAGAAAACAAAACATGTTAGTTCTTTGATTATTGTTACCAGAAGAGTACAAGGATGTAAATACTGTACATTGTGTACTCGTATATCCGTATCCTAGATCTGTTGCAAGGACTACATGTTTGTGTGAATACATCATAGACTCTCCTCTCCTCTCCTCATTAGCGCCCTCGTAATTTTCATTAACCGTGAAGTCGACAATTATATACATTCCGATGCATTTAGTGTCTATTAACGGAGGCGTCAAAGATATAAATGATGAATAAATAGGAACCAGCAGGGAATTCCTCGACTCATGAGAAGAAGTATTAAAAAGTGAGGACAGGGTTCGCAGCTGAAGCTGAAGCTGGATGGGAGGTACTCCCTTCAGTTTAGGGACCAGATGTGAGAGAGGAGGGGTACGCACTCATCCACACAACGGCTACAAAATGCTTCCTGGTCAACGAGTTTGATAAAGAAACAAACTGTTTAAGCTGACAGCGCGGATATTTTGATTGAATGCTTCCAGCTTTGCGTTGACGGTAAGTTGACTTTTTATTGGCCGTCTGTTAATAGTTAATTGAAATGCGCGTTACGTCGATGAACTGCAGGTGAACTTAAGACGTCATGACGTGAAGAGGGTACTTTCGACGGGGATCGCGAGGTGCTTCCTGGTCCCCGCTGCTCTCTTTGCTTGGATTTTGAACATTTAAACCAACCCAGCTGGGTCCTAGTGTTGTGGCGGACTTTTCACAGTTCTCCGGCACACAATGTTCCCTCAGCTGACAGCTTACCAACAGTCTTAATGCGAACAATGACGCATGTGCATGATGCCTAAGTGGACGCGTTTGAAGATTACACTTCATATCTTATCGGCAATGAGTTAAATGCGGAAAAGTCTCCGCATTAGTTCCATGTCTTCCATGCAACGTCATTGACTGTTGCCCTCCTTTGGGAAACCTATACAAAGCTTAAGAGGTATGGGAGCCTGACTTATAACTTCCAAACAAGACATGATTTGATTTATTTGAAGGAGATGTTATTCTGTTGTGTGTGTGTGTGTGTGTGTGTGTGTGTGTGTTGTGTAAATGTGGGTGGGTTGCAAGAGATCATGTCTTAGATAGGAGGCCATGCCCCTTTTTTTTTTTTTTTTTTTTTTAGCCACAGTGCCATACACATCAATCCTACTTGCAGATATTAAGTGTCTGAACCAGAGGCATCTTTACAATGTACACTGGGGTCTGTTAAAAATGACTATGACATATTTTGCATTGAATCCCATTATAATTATTGAGAGCCTACGGTTTACTGTAAGCTGCAGGGAACTTAATAAGATCACCACTGCCTCTTTGCATATAACACAATTCCTGGGAGGACGTGCATACAGTACCATCCTTTTGCAGGTTGAGGATGAATAGTAAGCTACATTTTGCAGGAGGTACACTGACCTGGTTGTCAATACCTGGAATACAGACACTGTGTGTCTTTTGCCTCAGGTATGTCCTTATCGCAGAATGCTTTTTGGAAAATGGCAGGGTGGCAACTCACTGAAAAATCCAGATTGATAACGTCTGTATAAATAAAGCATCAGGGGATGGATAACTTGACTTAGTTTGAAAGACGTGTATTGTTCTCACAGTAGAGGTCGGTGGCGGAAATGACTGCATCTTGCAGTGTATTTTTGTTCACACTTTGTGAGCTTTAACTTGCCAGAAGGGCTCTTTGTTTTCTGAGACATTAGGGGGACTAAGAGAGGTCGTCCAGTTTGGAGCGAGGCCGACCCTTATTCCATGGGAGAACGACTGCTTGTTTGTTAACTCCAGAAAGCTCTCACGTGATGAAAAGAAACTCCAATTTGCTTTTTATTGAGCCGAAGTGTAAGTGCTCTGAGACAGGCTGTGTTTGATTTAACTCCTCTTATCTTTGTTATGGTTATATATATATATATATATATATATAATTATGCCAGATGTGGCATTGCGGTACGAGGCTTTGTCTGGAGCCATAAATGGTTGATAACTCAAAGCATGTTTTCCTCCAGTCCAACCGTACCAAGAGGTCAGCCCAGGAAAACACGGACTCGGAGGTTTCTGGATCTGTTGAACAACACCAGTGTCTGACACTGCGTCCCACCATCACCGGTCATGTTCATACATTATCAGCAATCGAGAGCATCTGTGTGTGCACGGGCTGACTGGCTCACATTTATTTAAGTTTGTTTGAGTGTATGCGGGGGAGCGAGCTGGCTTTTATTGTGTTTATGAGGCTTCATAAAATGAGCTCCTTGCCTCTAATTAGTATATTAGCATACAGCAGAAAGTCTGCTTGTCTGATTCTGGGGTAAGTGCCCTGTACTTTGAGCAGAGTCGCAGGCCAAGCCATTTGCTGGCTCACCTGATCCCAGCCTGCTACCAAAGTCACTCGAGGACAAGAGACAGAAAAGCCACTGTTAAGTTTTTTGTTTTTTTTTAAACATGTCTCTGGCTCGACAGACTGAATGACAGCGAAATAGAGAGATGATACGTTTTCACATTCATAGAAGGCCAAGACATGGAGAGATCGGCATAATTGGACTGAGTCAGCATGTATGACTCAAGCAAAAGTGCTAGGAGGTGATAAAGACCTTTTTTTCCTGACATTGCAGTGGGTTAGGGAGTGTACGAGAGAATGTTTGGATGGAAAGGTGGGTTAAAACAGATTTTAATGGGGTGAAAGAATTACACAAGGAGATGGGGAAGAAGAGGAGGACAGCTTGAGATTACAACTTGATTTCCAGTTTCCAGCAACCGTCACAAAACCTGTGTATACCACTGATGACAGATGTTTGCTTAACAGTTGACGGATGTTTAGCACACAAATACTTGCATGAAAGCAAATTGAACATTAAAATTCTCTGTCAAGTTAGCTGCAGTCATCGTCAGCTAACTAACATTAAAAATGCTCGAAAGTAATTTCATCATCCATTGGGGGGGGGGGAATTTCATTCCCTTTGGGTTGTCAAAGACATGATCAATTGATATTGTCATTTTCTGCTTCTTAACTCGTATCTTTGGGCCAGCTCAGTGTGTATATTTTATATAAATAAATTGTTTCTTATCTTTTGTGATAGTGTAGAGTTGAAAGTGAGAGGAGAGATGTTGCAGGAGAGTGGGAGCAACAGATAAAAATGAGATATTTGAGTATGCTCACAAGAAGGAAGTCTGGTTATATTTCTTTCATATTGCATTGGTCTGATAAAGTGTCTTTCTATTTCAATTATGTTTGAAAAAGGCGAGGTCATACTATGTATTACAAGGAGTAGACGTCACTCTTAACGGTGTGAGTACCAGCTCAGAGTGATCCAGTTTCTTTAAGAGCGTTGTATTATGGGTTGTTTGTAGCTTTATCGTTGCTAGGCTAGCAGGTTTCTGTCTGTCAGTCTCCAGTAAACTCAGTTGGATCTACTGGAATGTTTTTTAGCCGGTCCATGTAATTTGCTGCCAAGGAGGAATTAAATTGCTGAAGACTGGTAGCATCTTTACCGCAGAAATAGTCTCTTTAGAAAGTCCAAAAAAACTGATGATGTGCTAGAAACAGCGGAGGGTATGAGTAGGCCAACATTCCTTTTCATATTTCAGAAGTAAGAAATCTTTTAAAAATGAAACATTTCAAATGAAACCCTTGAACATATCCTACAGTCCTACAACCCGGAAATGCCATAACATTTCTGCACTTCTGTTTCCCTCATCTCAAAGTCAATGGGTTTTTGGTTAGATTCCTGAAATAAGGTCAGGTCTGTGCTTAACACAAGCTTAAGAGATGTTTGTTGACGTAAAATATGTCAGTAAATACGCCTTTTGTAAATTTCGAAGGTTGCTGACAAGTGGCGAAATTAGTTTATGTTTTTGGGGACATTAAACGTCATCGCACAACTCACGGTCTTCTCAGGCTCGTGGTGGTGGTGATGTGGTGACCGTACTGTAGTTAGTTTATAGCCTAACGCTAGCTTTTTACTTCTGCCGATTGCATTGACGCTTCAAAGATCATGAAACCGTTTGTTTGCCACAGAGTTTATTTCCTGCTATAATCCCAAAATCAATGGAAACATCCCACTGGCCTTTTGTCCAGGAAACTATATCGATGCTAATTTCCGGGTTGAAAAATCCGTCATCCCTGCAGCACTCTATAGGCCTTTCTCACAGCATGACTCAGTGGTATAAGAACAGGTGATACTACTAACAATGGCTCTCCATCCATCCATCCATTTTCCTCCGCTTATCCGGGGTCGGGTCGCGGTGGCAACAGGCCAAGCAGGCTGACCCAGACTTCCCTCTCACCGGCAACATGTTCCAGCTCATTCTGGGGGATCCCGATCTCCCGCACCATCTTACCCTCACTCGTGAACAAGACCCCGAGATACTTGAACTCCTTCGCTTGAGGTAGGCACTCCGTCCCCACCTGGAGGGAGCAATCCACCGGTTTCCGGCAGAGCACCATGGCCTCAGATTTGGAGGTGCTAACTCTCATCCCCGCCGCTTCACACTCAGCTGCAAACCGCCCCAGTGAATGTTAGAGGTCACGATCCGAGGAGGCTAACAGGACCACATCATCTGCAAACAGCAGAGAGGCGATCCCGAGACCCCCGAACCTGACGTTCTCCACCCCCCGGCTGCGCCTAGATATCCTGTCCATGAAAGTCACGAACAGGACCGGAGACAAAGGGCAGCCCTGGCGGAGGCCAACACCCACCGGGAACGTGTCTGACTTATTGCCGAGAATGTGGACACAGCTCCTACTGCAGTCGTACAGAGACTGGATTGCCCGTTGTAATGGGTCCGGCACCCCATACTCCCGCAGCACCCCCCACAAGAACCCCCGAGGGACCCGGACGAAAGCCTTCTCCAAGTCCACAAAGCACATGTAGACTGGTTGGGCAAACTCCCAGAACCCCTCCAGTAGTCTTGCGAGGGTAAAGAGCTGGTCCACTGTTCCACGGCCGGGATGGAATCCGCATTGCTCCTCTTGAATCTGAGGTTCGACAAACGGTCGGAGCCTCCTTTCCAGCACCCTGGCATAAGCCTTCCCCGGGAGGCTGAGTAGTGTGATACCCCGGTAATTCGAGCACACTCTCCGGTCCCCCTTTTTGAAAATGGGAACCACCACCCCGGTCTGCCAGTCCATGGGCACTGATCCCGACCCCCATGCAACATTGAAGAGGCGTGTCAGCCAGGACAGCCCAACTATGTCCAGCGCTTTCAGCATCTCAGGGCGGATCTCATCCACCCCCGGCGCCTTGCCACCGAGGAGCTTTTGACTACCTCAGCGGCCTCTGCCAGGGATATGGGTGAGCCTCCCCCTAGATCTTCAGGTGCTGCCTCCTCTGCAGAGGACATGTTGGTCGGGTTTAGGAGTTCCTCAAAGTGCTCTTTCCACTGCCCGACGATGTCCCCTGTCCGGGTCAGCAGTTTCCCCCCCCACCCCCTGCTGAGAACAGCCTGGGGTAAGCCCTGCTTTCCCTTCCTGAGTCGTCAGATGGTTTGCCAGAACCTCCTTGAGGCCAACCGAAAGTCCTTCTCCATGGCCTCCCCGAACTCCTCCCATGCCCGAGTTTTAGCATTCGCGACCACCGCAGCTGCAGCCCTTCTGACCTGCCGGTACCTGTCAGCTGCTTCGGGAGACCCCTGGGCCAACCAGGCCTTGAAGGTCTCCTTCTTCAGCTTGACGGCTTCCCTCACCTCCGGTGTCCACCACCGGGTTCTCGGGTTGCTGCCACGACAGGCACCGATGACCTTCCGGCCACAGCTCCTAGCGGCCGCGTCCACAATAGAGGCTTTGAACATGGTCCATTTGGATTCCATGTCCCCAACCTCCCTCAGGATGTGTGAGAAGTTCTTCCGGAGGTGGGAGTTAAAGACCTCCTGGACAGGGTCCTCCGCCAGACATTCCCAGTTCACCCTCACTACACGTTTGGGCTTGCCGGGTCTTTCCAACCGGTTCCCCTGCCATCTGATCCAACTCACCACCAGGTGGTGATCAGTTGACAGCTCTGCTCCTCTCTTCACCCGAGTGTCCAAGACATACGGCCGCAAATCAAATGATACGATTACAAAATCGATCATTGATCTCCGGCCTAAGGTGTTCTGGTACCAGGTACACTTATGAGCCACCTTATGTTCGAACATGGCGTTCGTTATGGCCAAACCATGGCACGCACAGAAGTCCAATAACAAAACACCATTCGGATTCAGATCGGGCAAGCCGTTCCTCCCAATCACCCCCCGCCAGGTTTCTCCGTCATTGCCCATGTGAGCGTTGAAGTCCCCCAGGAGAACTATGGAGTCGGTAGGCGGCGCCCTTTCCAGGACCCCTCCCACCGACTCCAAGAAGGCCGGATACTCTGAACTGCTGTTTGGTGCATAAGCACAAACCACAGTCAGAGCCTTGCTCCCCACAACCCGTAGGCGCATGGAGGCGACCCTCTCGTTTTCCGGGGGGGAACTCCAACACAGCGGCGCTCACCCGGGGGCTCGTGAGTATCCCCACTCCCGCCCGGCGCCTCTCACCCTGGGCAACTCCAGAAAAGGACAAAGTCCAACCCCTCTCCAGGAGCTTGGTTCCAGAGCCAGCGCTGTGTGTGGAGGTGAGTCTAACTATATCTAGCTGGTACCGCTCCACCTCCTGCACCAGCCCTGGCTCTTTCCCCGCTAGCGAGGTGACGTTCCACGTCCCTAGAGCTAGTCTATGCTGGCGGCGATCGGCTCGCCCAGGCCTCCCGCCTGACCTGCAGCCCGGTCTGCATTGCACCCGACCCCGATGCTTATCCCTGCGGATGGTGGGTCCACAGGGTGGCTGCTCCATGCTGTTTATTTGGGCTGAGCCCGACCGGGCCCCATGGGCGAAGGCCCGGCCACCAGATGCTCACCGACGAGCTCCCCTCCCGGGTCTGGCTCCGGGAGGGAGCCCCTGTTTCCCTGGTCCAGGCGAGGTGACTGAAGTCCGTGGGCTGCTTTTCATTGGCGTCATTTTGAACCGCTCTTAGTCTGGGCTCTCCCCTGAGACCTGTTTGCCTTGGGAGACCCTACCAGGGGCTAATGCCCCGGACAACATAGCTCTCAGGATCACTGAGCCACTCAAACTCCTCCACCACGTTAAGGTGGCGATTCGCGATGGCTCTGTTCTATTCAAGTGCTGCAGTGAGAGTGAGAGCAAGCATGCACAACACCAACAACCTGAAATCAAAGCAGCCAAAAGGAATTCCTCCGTCATTGATTTTATAATTTACACCTGTGCTTCTCCTTCTACGACGAGTCAGAAATGTCTGCGTTGATGAAGGTCTACGGGCCTTTCTCACACCAGATACTTTGACAGGACACGCATTCAGTTGTGTCCCTGTAAGTCCTGCTAGTTAGTTATCCAGCATGCTCACATGCTCAATACCACGATCACTTCAATGGAATGTTTTTAAAGTCACCAAATACAACTCTGCTTTTCCTGCAGTGACATGCCAAAATGTGTGCGGTTAAAACGGCCTAAAAGCATGTCATGCAGTTTACCTCTTTTGTGAAGACTGGGGACGGTAATGTTTCAGTTACCCTGGCCCTGTAACCATGACAACCGCAGAAAGCACACTGTTTTGGGGGCTATTTGTACAGCTGTGTAGTTCCCTGAAGAATCCACCTTCACAAATGTCAATTAAAGGAAAACGTCTTTACATTTTAGTTCAAACAATGTTGATGATAGTAGCTATTATGATATTAGATGTTAGCCAAACGTGTTAGATTGTGTCATACGTGTACTGTAGGATGTTTTCTGTTAGCAGCCTGTGTTGTATGATACAGGTCGTTAGTATGACTGGATGTAACCTGTAGCTATAGTAGAGGAGTTTAAAATACAAAACTCCTACATGGCAGTAATGAGCTGCTGTCTGAAACACCTGAAGAAGACATGAGCACTGCCGTGCTGGAATGATTTCACGGGCACTGTCATTGTGATTGTTTAACTTTGTGTGGTGGCTTTATAGCTCCCATTGTGTCTCTGGATAAATGGAGATTAGGGATTGATCTAGGTTGTGAAAGCACCTCCTGAAGCACTATTGTAGGAATGATCTCTTTCAGGTTATTTTAAAATCTTTGATAAATAGCACCATCTGCTTTGTTTTTTGCCAAGTAATTTATATCAAACATCAGCAATCATTTTTTCCTTGGATTTTCTGTTAAAGATTTTGGTAGACCCAGCTGTGGTGAGTGTCATTACTTATGCTAATTATGTTCTTCTTTTATCCATTCAAAAGAACACACTGTTCCACATCCAAGAAATTTCTCCTGGAAAATACCTAATGGAGCCTTCTTGACTTGATTGGATGTATCAACATCAGATGTAACAGATTTCATGAACCAGGTAATGGTTATGGTTTATTCATATGAAATTGTTTAGGATCATTACATTAAACCTCGTCGGTTTCTTTGACTAATGCCCAACACATACTGTCCATTCCGCAGCACCTTCATGCCTTCTGCAGCCCGTCAAGTCATGTCATTCTCTTTGTTTTCCTTAATAGCCTCCAGAGAGTGTGTGACAAAACCGAGAGATGAGAAAACTAGAAGCAGATCCTCATTAAAGCTCTCACACTGAAATAAATCACATGCACCGCTTTAGCTGGAAAACACATGAAACAGAGGGAGGAGGATGTGGTTTGAACTTCTCAGCTCTTGCTGTTTTCTGGTTGAGCCGTCGGTCTTCAGGTCCAATCAGGGGCTGGCACTGTAAGAGGGACGGTGGCTCGGGTTTGTACCGTGGTTATGATGCAAGTGAAGACAGGGATGTGGAGGAGGAGAGTGAAGAAAAAGCAGGGGGCTTCTTTGGCTTCCAGCTTGGACAATTATCTTTGTAATCAGCACCGAACAAGAACCTTTTCATTTGACTGATCCGCCCTGCCCGCACCACTCAGCTTGACCATACTCAGTCCAGCAACATGAGGTGAATGTTGTCGTACCCAGCTGTGTCTTGGCTCAGCAATAGTTGAGTGCAATTAGAGAGTAAGAGACAAGATTGGGAAACACCCAAAGGCCATGTTGTCACTGCTGAGTAACATGATGAAGTGAGTGTGGCTGGCAGTGGCCCTTAGAAGGCCCGAGGAGGAATCGGATGTAAACTTGAAGGATTAACAAAACTCCAGAGCCTATACCGAGTGAATTCGCAGACATTAACACAACATCAGAGCCAGTTTGTTGTCAGGGCAGTGTAGCATCAGTGCCTTTTATAAGGTCCAGTGCATTATGGCCACAGACTGTTGTTGTAAACCTGCATCTGTGAAGAGAATATATTGTTGATTATCCAAAATCGGTGGTAATGTGTTAAAGCGTTGCAGTCTGGTTTAAGTGATACCATAGGTTTTTGGTGTGTGGGGGGGTGACCAGACTTTTCACCATCTGGTTCAGCTCTTCTTGATCACATGATCAGTGAGTAGAGGAGTTTGGTTACAATACAAACACACACAGAAATATTCTTAAATGTCACGTTTTCCTGTTTTCGTGTACGTGTTGTTTTCTTCGATCTTTTTCAAGAAATATTGGTTGAAGCACTTTCTCCTCTCTTGACTTGGCAAACCTCTAAAATATCCCCTTCATCAATTTCCTCCAACCTGTTGTTGTTTTCACTTATTTGTGGGATGTTGTTAACCTGTTAAATGCACAGAATTAAATCACATCTCACCTCACCGTGGATAGGTGAGATTTATTTAGAATCATTTTGATCTATCGGGTCACTCTGGAGAGGCGTTATCATATTTGATTTATTAAAGATCTTCTCAATTGATCCTCATACATCAAACCAATATGTCTAACTGTGGTACCACACGCAGCACGGACCGTCTCTCATCACTCATCCTGTCGTCTTCTTCTCTACTCCCCAAAAGTGCTCTCTACACACATGCACAAAAACGTCAGTGATTAACAAACTGCTATTACAGTTATGATGGATATATCCCGTAGTGGAATCAGAGTGTGGTTAATCGTTTGCTCAGGTTGTAATTACTGAACACATTTCTGAAAAATTGGGTCAAAAAGCTGCTACTGATGTCGTGTGAGGATCGATCGCTGTCGAAGAGATGATGGCCAATGTGTGTGTGAGATGAATGAGGAGTGAAGATTACTGAGCTGTCTCTTTGTCTTTTGACTCGGAAACATTCCTAGTTTACGATGCAGAGTGTGCTACCTGAAGATACATTGACAGGAACATGACATTGGACTCCAAAGAATGTGTCTATGTGCACTGTACTGTGTGTATGTGCACTGTATTGTGTGTGTGTGTATGTGCACTGTACTGTGTGCGTGTGTGATGGAGGTATAAATTGTCTATATTTTTCCGTCTTTGCCATTTTGCATAATTTGTTTTCATATTGAAAGTATTGCATTTTTGTGAGAAAGCGAATAAGAGGATGGCTTCTGTGCCTGAAGTTTGTCGGAAACAAAGCTGAAAACTCTCAGTATTGTTTGACATAATGGGTCCTTGTTTTCAGACAGAAATAAACAAAACCAGGCCTTGCATTCATAGCCACATGCCATCGATTTTGTCGGCTGAAATGACCATTGTCACAAGCTGATTTTATCACCTAGCCAGCTGTCTGTCTCTAACACAAGGACCCTGTAAAAAAGTGTTACATATGCACATGATGCTAAAAGCTGCATGTCCCAGGCAAAAACTTAGCTTCCTCCTGGTCCATGCGCCATGTACACAACATGTGAATAAGGAGCAGCACAGCTCTCACATCGGTCTTGAGGTGAGGACTAATTGCTGTATTTGGCTAACGTAAACCAAAGAGCAGGACGTCGTCTCCTTCTTTTGAGGAGGGTTTAACAAGCAATCAGTTCTTTGATACATACAGTTTAATACTTTGTCCTGTTTGCAGCACCTTTTGAAACCTGTCTCATATGTTGTATTTATTATACTCGGGGCAATAAAACATTGGCGAGAAAATATATACTGTATACAGACTGTGGTTATAAATAACTTGATGATCCCTTATGATAGAACAACAATATACAGTATATACTGAAGATATATAATGTAAAAGCACACAAACTGTTTCCTTTACCACCATAGATAAAGCGATCAACATATTTAACATATTGTACAAACAGCAGATATTCTCAGGAATGCCCCCCCCCACTGGTATAGTGTAGACATTTCTTTACAGTTAAGGACACACTTGTGTGCAGATACCTTCTAGCCAAATATTGCAAAGTTTAGGTGTGAAGGCTAAAAAAAACAACCTGTATATGCATGTAGCGAATCTGATTCAACAGAAAGAATTTAAGGATCTGACAACAGAACACAAGGTATTTCTTTGTTACAAGGTACATTTTCATCAGTTTTAGCCATTTTTATCAATGGAAAAGATTAAATACTTTTGAGATTGTTAAAAAAAAAGCACAATATAACAAAATATATTTCAGGCCAGTGTACAACATCATACTCCGAGACAAGGTTGCTGTACATTTTTCCTTCAGCAGTACCTTCAATAGACCACAATGCATTGTGTTCACAACATACGCTGTACATCTGAATGTCTCACTGTGTCCTCCTCGTTGCTTTTAGTCTTCACCAATGCAGACTAAAATGTAAAAAAGTACACGAGGCGAGCAGAAGGAAAGTAGAAGTTTCATACTGATGGAATTGATTACCTGAAGTATGACTCAATGTGTGTGTTCTGATGTGCATCCAACTATTGCTAACATTGTGGGCTGATAGATTTCTGATTTTGCACAATTATGCGTTATTATTCTAAGTAGAGACATGGGTTGGACGTACATGCAAAATACAGACAGGTGCAGTATCATCCTGGAGATTTTGGTTACCTCGCAACCTCACAGGGATGGCCAGACTGCAGGAAGTCAACGCCCCTGGCTAAGAACTAGTCTGGCACATAGCCTCCCCTGAAACCGCCATGTGTCCTTTTTACACAGAGGTAGGTGGATGTAGTTATCCTTGGACAGAGCCAGCTAACTGCTTCCCCCTCTTTCTAGTCTGTATGCTAAGCTCAGTTAACCACCCTGTGACTGCAGTGTCCCATTCATACTACAAATATAAGAGTGGTCTTCATCCCGTCGTTCAACTCTTGGAACAAAAACAAAACAGCACATTTCACAAAATGTAACTTTTCCTTTAACTTTTTAACAACATGTTTTATATAACTAGCATTTAAGTTTGAAGGCCAAAGCAAAATAAAACATTCCTGGGTGTTTTTTTTCCCAGATAGATTACATATTTGCTCCAGTATTTATGTGAGCTGTCTGAATGTTTGGTGCAATGCTCTTTTGCTCATAAAAAAGGATGAGCAAATAAAGAATGGTCCGATACAGAGCTTATTAAAACTTTACAAGCCTGGAAACAAAACAAAAAAATGGAACAAGTTATCAAAATCCAAACCTGCGTACCTCAGTGAAATGATCCGTAATTTGAGTGTTCGACTCCGCTGAGGACTACTCCCACCAAAGAGTCATTCTGAAGAGTAAGCCAGACACGAGAGTGGTTCTGTTCACATATTGTGATTTAACTGAGAGCGGCTCAAGTAATGGTTCCGCTAGAAAATGGAAACCTTTGGATATTTCGACATTTTATTCTATTAAACCCCTTTCAAATGCTTTATAGGTTAGCAGGATGGCATCATTGTAGTGTTGAGAGTTTCTGTGTGAACAGTAGTTTTGGCTAATATTTATAATGGAGGCCCTCACGTCTTTGTGTTGTGATAAGATATCTGATCCAGGTCATTACTGACCAGGGCCTCTATTCTGAGACATACACCCAAGAAGTCACTGCTTGTATTTTGATTAGACATTAGATCTCGGTCATTACTGATCCATCTTTCCATTAGTTCTATGTATCATTTCATCTCTCTCTGCTGAGATTGCTTGCACATGTCAGGCCCCAGGCTCCACAGGCCCACACAGGGCTGCAGTATCTGTGGGTGTGTGTGTTGGGGGTTCAGGAACCCCTATAATGGGCTTAGACAGGAGACACAGGGTCCCCCCTGGATGCATCAGTAGAGGGGACACAGAAGCCTGCTGATGAAGAGGTGGGTTGGTGGGTGGTGGGATAAGACGAGGGATGTGAGGGGAGGAAAGAGGGGCACGCACGGAAGATTGAGGAAAGAAGGGGATATGGGCGGACACATCCTTGGGCTTGCTCGGCACTGATGAAAGAAATTTGGATCATGGGAATGAACAGAACAGATGCTTCCAGCTAGATCACCACATGCATATGTCAACATCTGCTACATACACTAGAGGTATTGTAAGTATGTGTGTTTCCAGTTAACGGTGTATATATTTGTGTTTAGCTTCTTGGGAAAGGTGGATTACTCCGTGATTAGAGTGTGTTTAATGGCATGACGTTGCTCAAGTGAATTCAGCCTTCACCTGATAGTTCTTACAGACAGGATATGTTTCGTACATCCATAATAAGTTGTCAGTCCGACCCCAGGTGGGGTGTACATCTGCCCAAATGATCTGTGTCGGGAAAAGCACAGGAGAAATGGGGAAAACAGCTGTGGGCGTTTTTTGAAAGCACAAAAACTGTCGCACCACCATTTTCCACTGACAATGGCTGGCAGTATTATCATATGACAGACAAACTGTTTGTCAATTTGCTCTGCTTGTCTCCCAGGCCAGCTGACTTGGTTGTGGTGGGAAGCCAGAGGCGTCAGTGGTGAAGGACTAAGCTTTAGAGGAGAAGGAGAACAACCGGCCTACAAGAGAGACACATTTCAGTCGCCATATTTTGATTTCTTGCATCCTCTCTCTGGATAGGGGAGTGTTATTTTTTCTAAAACCGTTTTGAGGTAGATCCCTGAGCCAGTAGGACATTTTGTTTTTGTCATACACAATTCTACACCGGATGATGGAAAGTGTCAGAGATGTGTGCAAAAACACATTACATACCCAAGCCATAATCCACAATCAGTGCTTTTTGTTGTTGTTGTAATCGTTTGTTTCTCTCATAATTCAGAACATTTGTTGGCACAGCTTTTTTGTTTTGCCTGTTACCGTTTCGTCAGGTTACATAGTTAACCCTGGGAATATCACATCTATTTTTGATTGCAGTCCTGAAGAAATTCCTCCGAAAACGTTCCGCTCAGTGAGCAGCTCCATTCTCAGATAGCAATGCTCAACAATTACCCAGCCTGCCGAGACAAGCGTGTGAACACCGTCGCCCCAAACTGACTGAAAAAGGCTCAAGATATTTGGTTTCTTGGGTGTGAAAAAAAAAAAAGCCAGGTTTGAGAGCTATATCTTTCTGCTTCCACAGTTCATGGTAACCTGAGAACCATTTTCACAATGATTTGATAAGAACAAAGTGCAACACAGGCTTTGGCACTGGTTCTTTGGCTCGAGTGTTACTATTTTGCATTGGCACGGTGCTAGAGCGCTGCGGTGCATCCTAATGTGCAGCTAATGTTTGTGCTGAACCCAATCTATTCTGTTTGTTTCACAGATACATCCCTATGTTTGGACAGGGGGCGTTACATTGTGCAGTACATGGACCCCGAAAAAAGAGACCCGTGGGCCTTTTGAAAATAACAACTTTCCAAAACGACACACTGAGCAGCCAATGCAACCTTGATTCAAACCATATGCATGAAACAGGATAATGCCTTTTCAGAACACAGTCTATGAAGAATAGTGTCTGTAATGTGGCCTGTGCCGTTGTCTTGTCATAATGAATTTAGATTAAATTAGAGTGGACCGAGGGTCTGAATCGAAAGCTCTCATTTTGCGTAGGGGGACCTATTTGCCTCTACGAATATTTAGACGGCAAAACCACAATTGTTGTAAACAAACGGCATCTGTTTGCTTTAATGTACAAACCTGTTGTAGACAATCTGATTATATATGGCTGTGTGAGTGCAAAACACATTAAAAGCTTTCTCCTCAGGATTGTCTGAGAGCTTGAGAAACTGATGTTCAAGAGTCCCCTCGTGAACACGAGCATCCTGTTGACTGCGTAATGTCCTCCTTGCTTTGCCCAGGTATTACAGCTTTGTCCGTAGAGCGGATCCCTCTCCTCGGAAGCTCATAACACTCAGAAAAGTGCAAGCCGTTGATACTATTTAGGAAAGACTGATCTGTTGTCAGTTCTGTGGTATGGTGCTGTATAAACACACGAGCACAGCCCTTGACTTTTTGACGTTAAATTTGTTTTATGACCGAAAAAGATTTATGTTGAGCCAGCGTTGGAGCCGGTTTAATAAAAAGACTCCCCTGGAGAATAAAATAACTGCACTAACTACAATTCCACCAGCCACATCACAGTGCCAAGCATCTAGGATTCAGGTTCACCATTTAATATAAATTTCAAAGTGTTGATTATAGTTTTTAAGTTTTGATTTAATTCACTCAAACTCAACCCGAGATAAATCACAGATTGTCACTATCCAGCTGCAGCAGAAGTCATCGTCAGCATTTCCACGAATACATCACTCTTAGCTGTATGATTCAAAGGTCCTTGCAAGCTCTCACAAGCAGCTGCGTCAATGTGTTCCTCGCTAGTTTCCAAATCTCATAATCCTGCTGTCTTCTATTTAGTAAAGCTGACTTCAACCAAATATTTAGCTGTTTTAGTGATCTTCAAAACACTGACATCTGTTATCATATTTGTTTTTGATTACCCCACTTGATATATTATTGTCCTGACGTAAAGCCATGAATAAATGAAAGCCACGACTGGAGCCCTTCTTAAGAACACAGTTCCCTCCCCAGGTCGATAGAGTGGGCACAGATTCAGAGTAAACAGGAGAGCCACTGTGTTTTCATTGGCACCCTCACACTTTGTGGAGCTCTTGACTTTGATTGACTCAACGTGATTGCCATCGCTTCATGCATCATTACACAACGTTCTGATGTTTTGCTTTTTACATTGATGTTGAACATGGAAATCATATTTATGTTTAAGTTAATAATTAGCTGTTGCTATATATTTAGCATGTCCACACATAGGCCTTTTTTGTGACTTAGCATTGATCCCATTGTTCAGCATACAGTTTCCCACTGCTGCAATCAATGGGCCGGGCTGTTCTGTTGTCATTTTCCTGATTGATTTGTATCATGTTTGCATTGCTGCATTGTTTATCTTGCCCTTATACACTTATACTGAAGCAATCCTTCCATTTCATGGTTAGCTTTCTCATGGAGTGGGAAGGGACAGTGGGTTTAAGGGAGTAGCTTTGTTGGGATCTTAAATGATTATTTATCAGTAAATAATGTTTCCTCCAGTTGTATGTGTTTGTCTTTTATCCAGATGTATGTGGGTACCCTTGCTACTCTACCCAGCTCCTCTACTGTCTTTATTTTAAAGTGAGCCAGTGGTGTGTAATTCCTTCCTCCGGAGTGTGTAACAAACACTGTTTTTTTTTTATATTGTCTCTTATAGAAGAGTGTGACCAAGCAGCAGAGAGCAACTGCAGAAAGAGATGCAACTCTGACAGAAACCCAAACAGTAAGTGCATAACTTTTTAAGCATGTATTAATGACCAATTATTATTTTGTATTGTATGTATTACCTACATTACGTAGTCTTATTAAGTGCTGTACGTGATATATGTGCACCTATGTTGCACGCATACATCACCAATATACGCAAAGAAGGTACCATTATCTCTCCTGGGGTTCAGTGTGATAGAAAGGGTTCTTGAGAAACACAAACACAGCCTTCTGCTGTCAACCATATGTGGTAAAGAGACACTGACAAATGTATCTTTTTAGTATATAATACTGCCTCTGTGTGCATGAAAAATGGTTCTGAAGTTTGTAGCCCACTCCTTTGTGATGAATAGAAGCTCTAGTCATCTTGGATTCACATCAGTCATAATTAATTCCTGAGTCATGGCAGAAATTATGTCAAAACGTGTAAATATGATATATATAGAAAGTCCACTGATCTTAAGGATCCACTTCTCCACCGTTGATTCTGTCTGCTCCAAACAATAATTGTTTTACCATGAATTGCTAAAAATTCTACTTCCGGCAAAGCTTCAGATTTATGAGGAGGCAAAAGCGTGACAGGAAAGTAGTAGTTAGTCTGGACCACACTGAACATCAAGGAAATTATGCTGTCTGAAATTATGTCTGAGGTTTCATACTTGGTCTTGCCGGAAACAACACAGAAACTATGTTCAATAGCCTACCACTGATAGTCAACAATATAATGCAAAATGGCGATACTTCCCTCATGCCTACTCTGTTTTTAGCTGTATGAAGGTCCATAGAATATGTTACATGCCAGATTCTGTCAGTACATTTTGGCCTCAGAAGTTGGGTCGACTTCCACGTATAGCTTTAGATAAGTAGCCAGCACGTGAGATTCTGTCACAGGTACTGTAATGCATTTAATGTCCACAGCCTATTTAATGTCCACAGCCTATTTAATGTCCACAGCCTATTTACAGTGGCCTTGCACGGCAGCTGGATTCTTGCAATGTCTTGACATCTTGTGGGATCACGTGAAAATTGCTAAAAACAACAAAGAAGAGGTTAGCGTAGATGCTGCAACATCAGTAATATCACAACTGGAGAGTATTTCCTCATCAAAGCACTTTATCTTAAAGTGCCTGCCCTTTTCATGTAAAACTGTCTGATAGTACCTTCAGCTTGGCGGTATCTGTGAACAAGTTATTCAGAAATGATCACATGAAAAGAGCTAAGGAGAGAGGACACATCTTGAGAGAGGTCAGAGTGAGCAGAGTTAACTGGAGCTGACGTCATTCTTCTTGGAAAGATAAATATTCGGCCTGTGATGAGTAACATAATGTATGATCTCACAGTAACGAGAGACTTCTTTCTCTCTCTAAACTTACCTATCGTGACCATTACACAGGAATACTGTCAAAGCACAGTGGCGGTGAATCTTGCTCTTCTTACTCTTGAATGCTCATGAATTCGGTTCAGGAAAACAAGCTTTTGTTTCCCCATTCTTACTCTGCTCTAAGGCTCAGTGCAAGTCACTCAGAATTTGATGTTGCTCAGAATGTGTCAAAGGGATTGTTGTGAAGCCCCCCCCCCCAGCCCTCTTCAGTGCTCTATTCAGTGGAAACTGGTGAGCAGGCCAGTATATTCCCCACTGGTGGTCTGTGATCAGGTCCAGCCACTGGGGGGCAGTGGTATAGTAGTGGTGATGTGGTGAAATCGTTTAGATAAATAGGCGGATGATGATCTACTTATAGGTAATACTATATGTTTTTGCTGGTATACATGTTTTTAAAACCACTGTTGACATGTATTTGAAAGCAATCATCCGTATGCTGTCCTGAGTAACCGATCCCTTGTTGAACTTCACCCTTAAATCCGATTTTACGATTAGCCCTCAAAGAGCTGTTTGTATGCTAATCAATCCCAATCTTTAAATTGCTACCAGGTATGTTCCCCTCTTCTGCTGCGAAAAAACAGATAGCCTGCAGATTGCAGTTGAATACATAATTGATGAAATTAACGTGGAGGAAATCCGCAGAATATGAACAGATCCGTTTCGGGATCTACTTCCTCCGAGCCTCAAGGTCCGTCTCACACAGTTTACAGAGCACAATATTAACAACAGTGCCCAGCTTGAATATAATGCAAGAAAATATTTTCCTCTGAAATGAGTTTTTGGAAGTCTGTTAGTCATTGCAGAAATGTTTTAAAATCAGGAAAAGCACTCGCAGTACCTTCGATGGTTCTATCAGGCTAAATGGATGGCAGATGAACAGAATGAAATGAAGTTCTGAGACACAAAGAACCCAAGGATACTTTTCCATTATTTGGTGATTTTGTTTATACTTTCGGACCATATTTGCATTGCAAATATATGTTTTCCTTTGGCACATCATCTAACAACACGAGTTTGTCCTTCTGAAAATCAGGCAGAAAGGAGGCCAGATTAGACTCCTTTTCACCAGATATCTTAATAACCACACCACCAAACACCAAAGTAGGGTTTACAATGCGTACTGCCGTGTCATTTCAAGTGTTAGTTGTAAAAATAACTTGTTATTCGATTTGATTTGTTTCTTTTAACACGCATAAGTACAAACCTTGGAGAAGATATACCAGTGCAAATAGCTCCAATGTTAAAAGTTCACCTTTTGAATAACTGATAGCAAGTGTACGGCAAACAAAGCTGCTACTGAAGCACCACAAGCATTACAACCTTTGTCCAATCTGGTATATTTGTGCTCTGCTTCTGTGTGTTGAGGTTTTCTCAAAGTGATAATCGTTTTAATGAAAGGCGAGCTGTGAATGTGGTCTTAAATAGAGGCAATGTATTTGACAGGCGAGTTTCACCTCTCTTTCTCAATGGATCATTACCTCAATGTGTGCAGTGATTTATGAGCTGCGCTACAAATGCTGAGAGCAGTTCCTGTCTGGGGGCTGACATCCACCCACTGATTGCCACTATTTGTGTGTGTGTGTGCGTGTGCGTGTGCGTGTGCGTGCGTGCGTGCGTGCGTGCGTGCGTGCGTGCGTGCGTGCGTG